ACTTTTTAGTGGTTGAGCTTCAATAATGTCCACACACATCAAAAAGCATTCACATGTTATACCACATTTATTATGATAAAAATGGGGAATATTTTCTATGATACTTTTCTCTAGGAGGTACAACTCATCATTAAAAATAGATTATGTAATATCTCAGGGTGAGATGGCCTCACATATAAAAGATGTATATAAGTCTCACTATCGAAGTGATTGAACATGGAGGGCTTCATATATGAAACATTAAATATTCATTCAATCAAGCTTGTTAGAAGATCCTTCATATGGTTGATTTTATTAAAGTTGATGTAGTAATTAATCAGCTCTTTTTGTAAAGATATTTATCTAGCTATCATTGGAATGTTTTGTAACCTTATACTTAGTCATAAGTAAATGTGCACTTATTGCAGTTTTATAAATGTCAAATCTAATGTTGTCCTTGGAATACATAAAGACTTTAATTTTGGTATAGATTGAGCGTGAAGATAATAAATGTGGGTAGAGAAAGAGAGAGAGAGAGAGAGAGAGAGAGAGAGAGAGAGAGAGAGAGAGAAGTAATGTATATTCCAACACATAATCTTATGACCTAAATATATTTGTAGGCCACAATTAGCTACACAAAATATGCAATATTATATATAAGAAAAAAATGCATAGACAGCTTGTAATGACTATAATCAAAGGTTCATTTAAGAGAGGGCACTTGTCCCTACAAAATTTTATTATGTATTTATAGTTCATATATGTTTTTTTCTAACATAAATATAAATTTTATAAACATACTCAATTTATGTCCACTCACAAATTTAAGGGTTTATTGTTATAATCATATATATTGAGAAATATTTATGATATTTTTTAAAAATAGCAAATTTGTCCTCAACGAGAAAAATCTATGGTCCTACGAATTTTAAATCTAATGAATTTAGTTGGTAGCTATCCAATAGACATAAACTTCGAGCGTTTGAAAAGATAGCAAATACCTTTGATTAGTTCTCTTGACAAGATCCCTTACTCAACTTGATGAATACTCGTATTAAGTAGCAAACTCTAGAAGCAAATGCCATTTGTGAGCAAGAGACTTCACAACTCACCTGAGACAAGTTCAACACCTCAATACTAAAGGCCAAGAAGAATTTATGTCCCAAGAAATTGTATGAGTTTCGGCCCTAGATGACGAGAAGTTTTGGCCACCACAAGTGGCTGAGCCATTTCGGGATCCATCACTTATTAATTAAAATCAAATTGATGAGATGATTTGTTAAATTTGTTTCAAACAAATATAAGCATGCAATAGCCCATTGTTTTTTTTCTTTTTAAATTTTATTTCCCTCGCTCTCCTCTATTTTCTGACAAATATTTTTTTCTCAACCCAATAGATGTGGTATAAATTTTCAGTAAATGTAAAATATCAAAAATGCCATTGTAAAAATACAAATTAAAATATCCTCACTAAATTCTAATTTTTTATTCCCACATCACATTATTTCTACTCCAAAATTTTTATTTAAAACATAAATACAAAGATAAAGACGAAAAACATCGGTTTGAACGCACGAAAGCCATTGGCTCACAAATGTAAATCCAATGCAGGCATCCATTTCATGCTGACAAACCGCCAGCGGTTTTATTTTTTATTTTTGGTTTTTGGTTTTATCTTAAATAATGTGATAATCTTCGAGAAGCTTTCGACATAAGGGGCCCACATAAACAATCAACTTGTCATGCATTCTTAACATCCACTGGTGTGGTGGGGTCCATGTACTCTAATTTCCACATGCAACGAAGAGCATATATAAAACATTAGGAAGTTACCCAAAAGTTGCTAATTCTAAAAAGGGTAAATTAGCAAAGATGGTTATAATGTTAATTAAAATTTATTATTTTGATGTTACTATTGTCTAAGTAGGATTTGAGTGAAATAATAATTATTTATATATTAATAATTTATTTTATTTATTCATTTAAATTTGTATTTATCTTGGGCTCAACTTGAGCACTCCGGTCCATAATTTTTTTTAATTTCACATAACGTAAGCCTAATTAACCTATTTTATGCGTCCATGAGTAAAAAAAAAAAAAAATCCTAGTTTTTAGAGGTATATTTAAAAATTCTTTTGAACCTAACTTGACCTAGGTTACACTAATGAAATCCAGCCATATCTAATGGTAGTATCTAATAGTAGTTAACAGACCTTTTAGAATTTGTTAGGATTTAAAATGCAATTATCATTGATATTTTCGCCTCATATTCTCAATGATTATTAATGGATAAGAGATGGAGCAAACAAGATTCAATCTCACAAAGTGAGATCAAAAGCATTGGATTGATTGCGTTCAACAATCAAGATATTTTCTATTTTTAAGTGAGTTAAATTGAATAATCTGATTCAGGATTAAACATTCTTTTTTTCTTCTTCTTATTTGGTTAGAGGCCCCTACCTTATTGTTCGTCAATCGAATAAGCACATGTCATCTACAAAGTGTAGAGAAATTAATTAAAATGGATTTAATAAAATTGTAATAGTTTTATAAATCTATGAATATTTTAATAAAATTTAGAAAAAGATAAACACAACTGCATTAAATCTAAGATATTATGAAAAATATAATAAAAATATTATAAAATGGTTGTAACTATTATATTTCATAAGCTTTTTATAATTTTTAAAATTAATAATTAAATAATTTTTAATATATAAATTATAAAAAAAATTATGCTATTAATCCTAGGTTAGAATAATTTTATGACTAATTGTATGTAGATTTAAATTTAAATAAATCTAAATGCTCCTAATGCATCCTTATAATCCTAAAATTATTTTAGATTAACCCTAGGTCATCTTAGATTAACTCAGTTAGCCTAAAATTACATAGGTTGATCCTTGCCATCATAGGTTATCATAAATAAGTTTAGTTAGTCTTAGGTATATGCATCAAAAGAAACCTAAGTTTCACCCTTGGGTTTAGGTTAATCCAAGTTAATCATAGGTCAACCTTAGGTTAGCTTTCCACCCTAACAATCTTATTTCAAATCTAATAAATTTAAATAATTTAATAACATAATAAACTCTAGGTCTAAACTAAATAAACGTTTATTAAGCCTAAAAATCCTAGGCAATCTTTATCTACTTTAGTCTACACTAGTTGGCCTTAAATGATAGCTTGCATATCCTTAAACTTTTTTAGTCTATTCTTGATTTTAAAAGAGCTTAAGTGAATCTTAGGTGCCATAGATGATCCTAATTAAATTAGTTGTAATGACCTTTGGTGAGCTATCCCAAACTTACACTGATGTGTTTAACTATATTCAATTTGACTTTAATCAAACCCTTTTGACTTTATCGTACCCATAATATCCTTAATCTTCATTAATAGATCTGAGCCTATCATAAGGTGATGACCCATATTCCCATGGTTTCACCCAATCTAGCTTTAGATCTATATACCTTGGTGATTTTAGGTATGTCCTAACTCAGATTTTTCTACCGTAAGTAAAACCTGGGTGATGACCCATGTTTCTTTCTATATCTAATGGACCTTAATTAGTGGCATAATCTAAAGACCCTAGAAGATATGTTAATATAGCTCAATCTATACTAATGACCATTAATGTGACTTAGCATGCTCATTCTCCTTAAGCTATCAATCTAGTAACACCTATTCTACTCAATCATAGATAATTCAAAATGCTTGACTCTAATCTTTCAGATAAAGTCCTAGGATGTTCCATGGTCTTACCCTAATCTAAGCTTAAAATCTATTAGTAGGATGTCTATTTTATATGACCCAATTAGTCTAATGGATCTATATCTTGTTATATTTGAAACTTAACATTCTTAAACAATCATAGTGATTTTATGCTAATATAACATTGAAATTCATGTATAGACAACATTATTTAATTGAGTCATAATTAATTGAATGAACTATCATACCCTTGGTTCTAAGTGACATGCATAAACTTATTTACTTATATGAGTTAATAATAGATCAAGTTAGATAAATTGCATTATGACTCATACCACATATTAAACTCCTTTATGTCCTTATGTAATTAGCGTTGTGAACTTATTCCATTTAGGCATAACTGATTTAATGAAATTTCATTTAATCTTCCCTAGCTAGACTTAAGAGGTCTAATAATCTCACATTAACCTAGCCTTGAACTTCATAAGGAAGGTATCCTACTCTAAGGGACCCTACTTGATCCAATGGGCCTTGGTACCCACTTTACCCCTTGGGTAAACCCTAAATGATTCTAGTCCATAGACTTACTTTTGGTTTCCTTAGGTGGTTTCATATGTCACATATTTTCTATATTCTTTTAGGATATCCTTATTGCTTTAAGATTTTCCTTAGATGCGGCCTTAACATATGACGGATATATAATTGCTCTATTTAATTTATGAGTACTACATAACCCCTAAAAATCTATAATATTTTAATTTTGACTATAAATTTAATAAAATTAAATTGTAGTTGATCCTCCAATTAATTTTGAAAGTTTTTTATAAAAATAATTAGTACAATAAATAGTGATTCATATTAAAACATCAAATACAACTCGAGTTTTCAATATACTAATAACTTAATAATTATTAACATCTATTAATATAATGATCTTAAAACATATTCTCTTTTGAAGATATTGAGTGAAAAAAATTCATAATCACATGATTTTTTAATCTACACTCTCCCTCAAGCTAATAAAATTTTAAACCACTAAAACAATCAAATTATAAGTTTTAGAGTTTGATGGGCCCTATATGTTAATAAGACCTCTCCATGCCCACATAGTCAAGAGAGTTACCACTCATCATTAAATAAGATCATGTACAAAGCACTCAAATTCATCCATATCCAAGAGGGACCCATTCCACCCATGCATGGATAGATGGAATCTCAACCATCCATCATAGCCATGTAAAGTGACGCATCCTTCATCACCATCACCCCTTCCGCACTTCATGCCTACATAAACCCCGTCCTCCCCTCCTCACTCCTCACTACTCATCTTTCTTCCGGTAATTTCGATAACCTAAATCAGTTTGTCCTTCTATTTCGAAACTTTGGAAATACAGATCGGGATAGAGCCGATTCGGCCTTATGGAAGAAGATCAAGCATTGATACCCGGCCTCCCGGACGACATAGCCTTAGACTGCATCGCGAGAGTGCCACAACGCTTCCTTCCCGGCCTCAGGCCGATCTGCCGGCGTTGGCGCGATTTAGTGACGGCTCCATCCTTCCGCCGTCACCGTGAGAGAATCGGCTCGGCTGAGGATCTGATCTTTATCGTTCAAGCCTTAGGCGGCACCGCCGCTTCCATCGCTGGCGACGCCAAAGATTCAGGTAAGCCTGACAGCGCCGCCGATCTCCATCCGCCGGTTTACGCGTTATCCGTCTACATCGCCACGGACGGTTCCTGGCACCGCCTGGCCTCGCCGGATCCGATTCCGATGTTCGCTCAGTGCGTCACCGTCGAAGGGAAGCTGATCCTCGTCGGAGGATGGGATCCCGTGACGCTCGACCCGGTGCCAGATGTGCGGATTGTAGATCTGGTCACTGGGGAGTGGAGAAAGGGCAGGCCGATGTCAGCCGCACGGTCGTTCTTCGCGTGCGCGGCGGTGGGCGGGAGGATTTACGTTGCCGGAGGGCACGACGAAATGAAGAACGCGCTGCGGACGGCGGAGATTTACGATGTGGAGGCGGATGAATGGGCGGCGATTCCGGCGATGGCGGAGGAGAGAGACGAGAGTCAGGGAGTGGCAATCGGGGGCAGATTCTGGGCGATAAGTGGATACGGAACGGAGACCCAGGGGCGGTTTACGGATTCGGCGGAGTGGTACGATCCTGAGAAGGGGGTTTGGCGGAGTGAGGAAGGGGTGTGCTCTGAGGAATCGGGCTCGGCAGCTTGCTTCGCCGGAGGCGATGGGTTGTGGTGTGTGGAGAGGCGAGGGGCTAGGGAATATAGGGGAGAGAGTGGGTGGAAAGAGGCTGCTCAGGCAGCAGAGGGGATGAAGGGGACTTCATGCATGGCACCGATGGGAGGCGGCAAGGTTTTCGTGATGGGGGCCGCCAGAGACGGTGAAGCCGCCGCCGGTGGCAGCGGGGGTTATGGCAGTTGGATTTTGGACATTGTTGCAGGGAAATGGATAAGGGTTGAGACGCCGGCGAAATTTTCAGGGTTCGCGTACTCCGCTGCCGCTGTCCGTATGTGAGTCTGGTCACCGGCTTGGTAATCAGTATCACCCCCTAATTAATTAAGATAATGAGGCGTCATTAGTTTAATAATGTTATCCTGAGTGTTATGGAGCTGCTGAGGACTAGGTATTGTATAGTTTTTATATTAAAAAGTCATATAATATATATATATGTGCCTTTTCTTTTTCGGTGGCTTTTATTTTTTCTCTTATAAGTTCATTGGGTATCAATTTCAAATAAATTCAAATTCAAAATTAATTTTAAAATTTTCTAATTTCTAATATATATGAAATCTGAGTTATCTTTAATTAATTTAAATCAAATTCAACTATGAATTATGTAAAATTTAATTAACATCTCTTAGAGTTTTATTTCCTTTTAAAACTCTCTAAGATGAGACAACATAGATAAGCTGGTCCAAGCGGCGAAGAATAAGGGTATAATATTCCGACACGCAGCCCGGGGATGAATATATGAGTTTATCTTAATTCATCTAAATATTTTCTTAAAAAATGTATATTATTTAATGATTCATACTTGAAAGCGTCCGGCTTATGGAGGCACATATTGTTTAATTTTTTATTTTAAAGATCATAGTAATTTTTATTTTTATTATTTTAATAATACTTTCAAAAAATTGTGTGTTAAAAAGTATATTTTTATAATAGTTCTAAAATTTTATTTTCTGTGATGTAGTTTTGCAGTGCATTAGAAAAATCATTCAGTAAAGCCGGATGAGGAGAATCATTCAGATTTGTTGTATATTTATAAATACTTTTGTAAATATTAGTTATGAGTATCTGTTGAGGATTTTATAAGTAAATACTAATTTATTAGATATTTGTTGAGTATTTATAAATACTCAGTACGTAGCAGCTTTTGAACTAAACAAATTTCTTTTTTATTGCAAAAGTCGCTGAGACCATCTCCAACGAAAAATCTTATTTTTCACTCTAAAATGCCATGAAACTAAAAAATGCCGCGATTCATCTCCAATCGAACTCTATTTTGCCCCATTTTGTGAAGGTAACGAACTTTCTCTTCTTTCGCATGTTTCTTTGACAAATTCGGTAGAGACAGAAAAATAGTGAAGATGAACAGTGCAACGTCAATATTGACGTTCCACTGTTCATCTGCAATCAAATGGCATGAGTTTTACGTTCTATTGGATCTCACGAGCAACGTCATTCAAGTATTTGAATTTGGGTTGGGGATGCACTGAATGTAAGAGAACACTCATAATTGATGGGAAGAAATCAATTTTAAGCGTAATTTCTCAGCCTTTTGTCCGTTTCAAAAGGGGTAAGCCGGCGACCTTTCTTCTAGAATAATATTTAATGCTAATATAAATTAATAAAATCTGGAAGTTCTGATTTCGTCAATTTTGAGAATATTAAAAATGTGAAAATTGTTTGATTTGATGATTATTAAATTCTGATAAATTTTTTTTTTCTGATTTTGTCATTTTTGAATTTGTTAAAAGCACAAGAATTGCGGGGTTAACAAATTCTAATATTAATTAATAATTAAAATATAATGTGATTAATCAAAATACTCGAATTTAAAATCTCTAATAATTTATCGATGAATTTTTTTTGGCATATTTAGGCTACTTAAGTCAAATTCATACACGCATCACATACATAAGGCGCAAATTCAAGACCTGTTGATTGATAGTCAAAGCTCTTGACTAACATATCAATATGAGTTACATTATTGATGAAATTTATATTATGATAATAATACTTTAATTCTATTAAACAATTGTTATAAGATTGTGCTTATAATTGATGAGATTCCAAATTTAATCCGTGGGAATGAACAATAATTAGGAGTTTTAGTTAAGGGTAGCTATCTAGCAGTTGATCATTTGAATTTACTCTCTTAAAATTCACAAAAAGGAAAGGAGTAGGAGCAATGCTAATATATATATATTTTGGCAGCTATTTTTTTAGGGAGTAGCAGTTCAATCAAATAATCTAATTTTTTTTTATTAATATATATATATCAAATTCGACTAATAAAAAATGTTCAATTATAATATCATAAAAAAATAAGACTTCTAAATAGTATTAAATGAAGGAGGATAAACACAAATCATCCAATAGAGTGTTCTATTGTTTATTCAAGTTATTATAATTTTTTTTAAACAAAAACATTTTATTAATAAAAAGCAATAGTGATACAAGAGCTAAACCTAATAATGTAGGATACATAGAAGTGAAACCCAAAAAGCCAAAATAAAAAGAGAAACCAGCAAAGAGGGACTCAGGAGTGGAGGCCCCCAACACCAGCCTAACAACCAAGCACGGACCATCCGTAGGTGATTAAAAAATGATCCAAAAGTCAACGCCGAGACACCCAGGTTGCCAACCAGCTCAGCCAAATAGGGGGAGCAGGGGCCTCCTCATCATTGTCCAGCAAACCATCAAAATCTGTCCACGAAAAAGCACAAGCCAAATCACAATCCTACTTCTTATTGCCTTTCCTTCTAATCTTATAATCACTCGCATTAATAGCATTACGAATAATAGAGCTATCCTTCTCACAATCATGAAAATCAGATTTTTCCCCACTAGAAGAAAATGAATCCTCTAAAATTAACCAATCAGATTGAGCCAAAACTGATTTATTCCTAGACATCGTCATATGCTCTTTCGTTTCAACATCTGATAAAACTGATATCGGGACATTCACAACATCAATATTGTCCTTTGAGCTTTTAGAAGAAACCAACTTAGTTTGAGCATGAACCTGGTTAGCTAACACCAACTTAACAAAAGAGGCATCATCCCGAATATGGGAAGGTATAGCACAACCAGACAATTCACACAGGGTTGAATCAGATGAAGAAGACTGCTCACCAAAACCATCAGCCAAAGCCAAATACACAGAACAGGCCCAAAATTCGCACCAGATAAATTAAGTTTATAATATTTCATCTAAAATTCTATAAAATAAGTCCAAATTCTAGACATTTAAGGAGGCCGATAATAGGTCGATTGAAGAATTCAAATAAAAGAAAACAAAGCTTTGTCAACTAGATCTATTATGATTTGAATGTCAGAGAATACATTTTCTATTAGAAGGGGAGGATGTAATATCTATTTTTAGAAACTCAGGTAACTAATGTTAATAAAGTTAAATACTCATTTTATGTTCAATGTTAAGTGAAATTGTGAGGTTTAGAATGTGTAATCAAGGTTTGGGCTGAGGATGTGGAAAATTGAGTAGACTGAGTACGATAGAGAGCAATAAACTTGATTTTTGTAAGGTATATATGATTTTGTAGTTCAAAATATATTTAAATCTTTTGTGGAAATATTTGTATTCTTATCTTTTTTTATTTATATATTTTGGAAGAAGTACCATATAAACGTATTCTAGATGATTATTTGCATGCTTATTTTGTTTGGTGAATGGATGGATCTGGTAAGAATGAAAAGTTGAGTTTAAAATTCATAAGTCTATAGGAAAGTAGGCCCAATTTCTCTTTTAGATCTTAGTGTGTTACATACTCTCCATCATATTTATAAAATCTAATTTCATTTATGGCATTCCTTTTATATTGTTGTTGAATCAATTTGGTCAATGCCAACACATTCAATATAGTTTTAGATGTCCACTATATATGTTTGAGGCTCATTTATTGATCTTTTTTCTTGCACAAGTTGAGTTTAGGTATCTACTATCATTAACCTACATTTTTATCCTACCCAAGAATGCTCCTAGAGGTAATATGGCTAATCTTAACATGTAATTCTTATTAATTTGAGACACAACCCCATACACTATGGTATACCATGAGTGCATTATGATTAGCCATAAGGGGGCCTCTAAATTAGCCCAACATATCCTAAGTGATCTAATGGCTCATTCTACTTAGCTCATCTTATTTAATGACCTAGGAATTATCCTAGTACTATTTTATTAGCCCACACATTAATTTTACCTCCTAATGGATTTAATTTCCCCTAATTGACTCAATAATAACCTTTCATTCACTTAACCATGACTTGACTTAGGTTAACTCAAAATGATCCCCTTAACCTTACTATCGAGTTGATCATAAAGACTAATCCACTAATCCCTTAATTTATCCATGTTCCAACCTAAATAAACCCTGGATATTCTATTCGACTAACCTAGTTGAGTAGCTTGGTTTAGTGTATCTAAGTTTTTCCATAGGACCCATTTAATCAACTTTAATTCAATTGAGATTTAGCATAACCTAGTTAATCAATTAAGCTTAACTTAAATAGTTCTTCTCCCCTTTCGTATTTTTTTACTTGTGTTTGTCTTTTGTTGATATGGTGGTATGTCGGCTTGCCAATCCTGATTTCCTGGATGGATTGGCTCGGTCCCGCTCATTTTTGGAAGCCTTAGCGGGGTCTTCTCCTGCTAAATTTTCAAACCTTAAATGGACTTCTTTTCACGGCGTTCCTTCTCTTTTGGTTTAAGAAGAGGAATTTTTTGCTCTTGCCAAACCCTTTAAATTTTCACTTGTTGGTTTCTTCCCCTTACGGTGGCCTCCTCTCGCTTCAATTCGATTTTTTTTTCAACCTTTGGTTAAATGGTGTGTTCTCTGTTACCTTGTTGGATAAATCTCATTTCCTCATTAAGCTGGAGAATGATCTTGATAATAGTAGATTTTTTGTCATAGGTCTTATCTGGTTTTCAATTGCTTCATGAAGGTGTCTAAATGGTCTCCTTCTAATGACATTGAGGATGAGTCTCTCATTGTTCTGATCTATATTTCTTTCCCTAATCCACGTCCCCATTTTTTCTCACCCCGTATCTTGCATGGTTTGGGGATTCTCTTTGGTAATCCGCTGAAGGTAGATAATGCCACTGCTTTGGGGTCGCTCCCGTTAGTTGCTCGTGTGCTGGTGGAAAGTAATATTACATAGAAATTTTTAGACAAATTTTGGATTGGTCCAGAGAAACTAGGTTATTTTCAACAAGTCACTATGGAGGATTTTCCTCCCTTTTGTGCCAAATGCAAGCATCTTGGACATTCATTTGGTGATTGTCGGCCTCCTCTTGATGCTAGCATGGTTGCTGTCCCTTCTTTATCTAAACTTGATTTTTTGGGTTACTAATGATTTGGTCATTCCAGAGGATGTTAGAGATTTAGGTGATGATATTCCTATCGATCCTAATGCCAATGTAGTTGTTTTATCTCTT